TCTTAGACTAAAATGCCAGCATTTACCGCAGGAACACAACTAATGCACAGAGCTAGCACCTAGGTGTTGCTGACAGTAAAAATAAAGTCCTTGTTTACAACCCTGTTCAATATAAAACTCTTTACTGCGGACTCATAAAAACTCTCGTTGCCATCTAAAGGCTTAACAACGTAGCTAAAAATCACCTTCACTAACACACAGTCCGCTTTACAATACCAAATACTATTATTAAATACAACTATTATTTATATAAAATATTTATTGATTAATAATATTTAATAAACAACAACAGCCATCATAAACATTGCTAAGAAATTCTGTCAAAATTACAAAGGCAGTGTTCTGATACATCATTAAAGTTATTAAAATATAAAGTTATGAGACATTGCCCTCAGCCAAGACTATTGTCCATTACCCAAAATGAATTATATTTCATGTTTAACTACTACAGAGACGTCAGAGCCAGTGGCAAATTCCAGAAGAACTGGATGAGGTGAGGCTGCTCTCGGTGGGCTCATGAGCACTGAACGGCCGCTGACGCCCTGGAGCTCACATCTCCCAAAACATCAAAGCAAATTTTTAAATAAATGTTACCTTTATTAACAAACTGCATATCTGAAGTCTAAACAAGTACAGTATTGCCTAAAAAACTCTGTGACACAAAGTATTATTCATAAAATTATAGTGGATTTGGGCTTTTGCCATGACACTCGCTGTGAGAAATATCACAAGCGGAGTGATACAAACTGTAAAGCAGTTTCTGGGGTGATACTGGGTGAATATCTCATGCTTGGAAAGACCTCTCAGCCAATCAGATTTGAGGACTAGAAAAAAAACGTGTATAAATTTGTATATATCCAAATGTATAATCTAATACAAGTAATTAGGTTTGAAAATAATGCTCCCAGCTTTTATATATTTATATAGAACTATAAAGCCATCTATTGGCTACACCATGGTATTACAGATGATAAATGATGCATAACTTGGAGGCTTTAAAACACAAAATAAAATAATTAATATTATTCAATTAAAATATAACATTTAAAATGGTAAAAATCCTGTTATCGCCCCTGGTGTTGAGAAGCAACATCATAAGCCAGCTGGAACACCTAAATGAAGAGGTTGCTGTTATCAAGCAGTTATCTATAACAAAACAAACCTCTGCAGCTGCCAGAGGATATGTTTGCTACTATGCAACCTAGACTTGAGGAGGAGGTTTAATAAAAGTGTCTGCTAAATACATAAAGCCCTTTGTTATGACACTGGTCTAAGGTCAGGGAGGTTACATAAACAAAGAGTACTGTGCTTGCTTTTACGGTTTTCTGTTTTGTTTTTCTGTCACACCGCTCAAATATGAAGCAATCTTCTCAGGATTGGGAAAAGCCAAAAACAACAAACAAAAGATGCTACTGATTAAAAACGCAATCGCTCCTTGACTAGTGGTCGACCGATATTGGTTTTTTTGACAGCCGATACCGATAAAACACGCTTATACTTTAAACGACAAAGTATTTTTCACAAATAAACAAATATTTAATAAAAATATAATTAAAAAGGTAGTAAACACTGTAACCAACAGGGCACTCAATATTCTGGGAAGTTTGTGTGCATTGGGAATCACATTTTTTCAAATAAAGCCAAGGTAACACTCATTTTACATACAGCACACAGTGAAAATGACATGAATATGACATTGGGCAAAAGCATGAAGTGCAGAATAATTTGAAATCACGAGTTTAAAGTTTGTCAATCGCGCATCTCAGTGAAGCCTAACTCTCCTCCTGTCCGTATTCAATTTGCACGGACTGACCGTCATGCAGAGAACACGCGATCATGCAGGACACAAAACGCACACTTCACAAGATCTCACAGCTGGATTCGACTAAGTTTGCAAGGTTTTTGAAATTAGCTAGATGTTCATTAGTCATTCAAAGATTTGTTTAAATTATGTAAATGCGTATTTGCTGAATG